CAAGAGGCTCCCTCAACCCTACTGCTTCCCCACATCTGTCAATCATTAGTCACAGGCAACCCTCAAGAAAGCAAAGAAGCTGAGTGAGTTCAACTCCCCAGGCACCTCCGGGTAAGGCAACTCCTTCAACTCAGGGAAATCCTCCAGAAAGCAGTACAGGGTGAGCCCTGAGCAACCAACTCTTTTGGTAGCTGGAGGTGGGATACTTCCTAGTAATGGGATGCTAACAGCAGTGGCTACAGTCCCATAGCTAACAGCAGTGGCTACAGTCCCAGTGGCTACAGTCCCTACCCAAGAAGAGGATAGGGAGGCCAAGGCAGTCGGTGCCTGCAGACTGGTTCAAAACCAGTTTTGGTTTGTTTCCTAAAATCCTAAATGCTTTTAACCACTATGCCATAGCCCCATAGTGTTTTACCTACTTTATCTCATTGAATTCCCCCCAAAACAGAATTAAGTAAATATCAACCCACTTAGATTGAGAAAGATATTGAGGTTCTGAGAATTTGAACCCAAGGCCACATGGCCAAAAACTAGCAAAGTTGGAAATACACACCCGGGGCTCCTGGCTCTAAATGCTTTTTCTCTCAGGTGACCTAACAGGGGAATTTGGAGGAAAAGGAGTAAAGATATTGATATGAGCATGAATTGAAGAACCAAAGCCATTTCCTACATCTACGTATTTCAGCCAAGCAGCTCAAAGTTCTGCTGAAGTGTTTGTAGCTCTGGTCCTCACTCCTTGTTTGCCATTTGGAGAGTTCCGCCATGTTGCTCCGTGCCAACGCAAATGCAGGCTTCCTAAATGAAGGTCTGCCAGGAAGGAGCCTGCTTTATCGTGTGTCTGTTGTATCAAGTCCCCAGCCACTCTTTCGCTTGAAGACCGTCTGGTATAACCCTGTCTGTGCATCCTCACATCCTGTGTGCCCATATTTCTCTACACACTCTGCTCTGCGTAATAAATGTTTACGCTTTACTTCCCCTTCCCCTCACTCAGGATTGCAGGGACCACAAAGTAGCAGAGCAAGGACACTGGGGACTAAGTTCCAGCTGTAACAGATCACTGTCTCTGGCATCCTGGGCAAGCCCTTTATGGTCTGAGTTTGAGTTTCCTCCTCTGTCAAATCAGCACCATGGCATTTCCTACCTCTCAGAATTGTCACGTGGATTAGAAGCAACATATTTAAAACACTAAGCATATAGTGGGTGTGCAATAAAGGATAGTTATTTTCTGTGACAGATGCACCTGCACAGGAGACAGAGATACACAGGTGCTTTCTAAGAAAGCTTCCACCACTTGGAGAGCAGATGCCAAGGCCACAAGTGTCTGTCACATAGCAAGTTCTCAATGTGTTTTCAAGTCTGTTGCCCGCATCCCCTTCCTCTTTCCCCTTCCCCATCACCACTGTCTTGATTCCTCAAGCTGCCCTTGTCCAGAATGCCCTGCTTTGGTTACGTCCTTTGGCTTCCATTCTCCAGCATCATGGCAATTCCTCCAAGAAGCTTTTCTGTGGAAAGAACAGGGTCCTGTGACCCGGGACGTAAGTGATCATGCCCTTTGGGAAGACCCTTCTTCTCTTCCTACTCCTGAATAGTGGCATTTTGAGAGACACCTCTGCCATCTCTCACCTTCTTTTGATGACTCTCAGTGCCACATTCCCCATCCTGGGGACGACTATCCCCCTGGACCAAGTGACATCTCTCTATTTCTTCTTGAACAATGCGGGCAGGCCCATTTCTTCCATCTCCATTTCCTTCTCTCCATAGTGGGGCTAGCGGACTCCTCCCAGGGACGTTCCCAAATGACACGACAAAGTATAGAACATACTGCACTGGCCAGTCCAAGCACAGTTAAGCGTCATCCCTTTATCTTCGTGGCCCCTCCACGTTTTTTATTTAAACCCAGAAGACTTAGTGATTATTAGTTCCTACTGTGTTTTCTTTTACACTCCTAAGGGCTTAACACCATGCTAAGCACATAGTAGGGCTCAACTGAAAAATGAAATTATAGTGAACACCTGAACTCTAAGTGGTGATCTCAGATTCTACCTCTTTAAGTAGCAGTCACCCTGCACGTTGGACTCTTCTGCCCTGCATCGCCCTTCAGCTAAGTAACAGTCTCCCAGGATTGAAAGAGCAATCCACCCTGTGCTCAGAGGTTCTCACATTTTTAGGCTGTGAGCTGATAACTAAATACTGTCAATGGGATTTCAGCACTACCTGGTTCCTAGGGGAAGGGAGCAGGCAGGGGTTGTCCCGACTCAGAAACATCAAGTGCCGTGAATATTCCCAACACAAGAGCTGAGGCTCTGTGCTCAGCTGCTCCCAGGTGCCTCTCTGGAACATCCCACCTGGAGGCTCCCGGGCCACCCCTGCTCGTGGGCCAATTGCGACAGGAACTTCACTCCCTCTAGTTGGCATCTCTCTGCTAACAGAACTGACACGGTGTTTGGAGAGAGATCAGGTGCCCATCTGGCTCCCAAGTCACTGCATTTGTGCCCCTAGGAAGGCAGGCCCAGGTCCCCTGTAGGGCCTCCTCTGAATCTGGGAGTGCACAGATGAGACTGAAATGCCTGGGCTGCTGGAGTACAAGTGCTCCTTGTATTTTCCTAAGGACGGCTGGACTTTTGCCATACATGGAGTAACCGAGAACCACTAGGACCCCTGACCCGTGTAGACCTCCATGAACACATCCTCAGTCAAGACCCCGCATCCCAAATCAACAATTACTTAATTTATACCAACTTATCATTTTACACTGGACCACTCCTACCAGGAACTGTGCTAGCCCCAGCCACTAGGGCATGTCCCCAGTGCTCGGTCCTTCCTTCCTCCATCCCTGCCCACCACCTCTGACGCCAACACTGCATGCTTCAAGCATAGCATCCCCATTAGGGCACAGGCATCCATGGGTATTCTGCAAAAAAATTTTCTTTGAAAATTCGGAAGACTCACATTGGAGTCTCCACACCAAATTCCTGGGCAATCCTGGAAACTCACTTTAACCTCTCTGGGCCTCTCTTCCCTTCAGCTCTTAATGAGTGTGATGAAGCAAGGTCTGATGGTGTTCTGTGGAGGGAAGCACTTTCCAGATTGCAAAGTGCCATGTCAATGGGAAGCCTGCTATAAATATTTTGGTCACACCCTCTGGGGAGTTGGTTGTGTAATGACAACCTTAATGTGTTCGGAGGGGGAAGGTGTTCTTCCTGCTGTGTTTGCAGGGCCAGGGGTGTGGCCTGGGCCACGCCAAGGTCAGGCCAGGCTGCAGCTGCTGCCCCTAACCAAGGTGACTCACTTCCCTGATAGCACTGCTGAGAAAAGTGCAGGCTCTTTCTTGCCCCGTCCTTTTGCTCAGACACACCTCTTGAGGTGGAAGACATTTGGCACCAGGGAAGGAATCTGTCAGGTTAAGTCAGGAAATACTGTCTCTGAGTCTGGGCCTTTCTTTTTGAGTTCAGAAAGAGTAGGGCAGGGTCAAAACCAAAACACCACAAATCTGTAACTTTGGCTATAAGTGGACTCCCAGCCTTGGCTTGGAGTCCATGTGACCTTGGCAAGTTCCTTATCTCCTCCATGCTTATTTCGTCCTCCTCGAACTCGCCATAATAATTACTACTTCCTGGGGTTGTATGGGGGCATTTTCAATGAGTTCTTATATATAATGTCCATTTTACTTCGCTGCATTAAATATAAACTCTGTCAGGAAACGGGTTTATTTTGCTTCTTTGTATTTCTTTTTTTGTTTTACATAATGATTGTGTTTTGCTTTCATACTAAGAAAACATATCCAGTGTATTTAATTCTGTAAAAGGCTGACTGAATAAGAATGCCTGAGAAAACCAAGACTCAGGGGGCTTGCATGACCACCTCCAACAAGATAGCTGTTCAGGAGTAGAAGTGAAACTGAAATCAGGCCTCTCCCCCCTAGGTGCAGGTACAAAGGTTGCCTTAGGCTCTACTTCCGCTTTGTGCTTTTCTTTTTGCCATTTTGACCCCTGGGTCAAACTCCCCTGGGAGTTCAAATTTCCTTTCCATTTCAGGATTACACATTCAGAGTTGATTTTAAAACACACACATATTTATGTCTCAATGCATATGGAGTATGTGTCTATAAATGCATATCGATCTTTCAGGAAATAGATAAAGACTCCCAACCTAAGCAAAAGTTGTCTATACCACGAGTCGGCTTTCCACAAAATCTACAAGATAGGAACACATACAGTTTGCAACTTCTCTTTTCTAAGTGGGTTTCCAGAGACCCGTTGCCACCTGGGTCAAAGTACACAGCCCCGAGACCATTCTGAAGGCCAGTGGTTTCATCCCCTTTATTGTAGGTTTTGCCCATTGCTAAGATCAGAAATGTATGCAAGCACTCCTCGAGGCAAAGATGTGTGGCAAGGGAGCTTCTTGCTAGTATTAACTACTTTTCCAGTCTCAATATTGCTTTGTCCACTCTGAGTTAACAGGGGTTTAAAATCCACGCTCAGGGACCTGCTGAAATCGGGAGTGGGTGAACCTGCCACTCCAGAATAATAGGGGATCTCAGTGAAGACAAATCTCACAATGCAAGTAAAAAAAATAAATCTGATGACCACAGAGAGACATTAAAAATTAAAATGAACAATGAAGAAGGGAGAGGGCGAGAGAGAAGCATAATAGCCATGAAAAACATTTCTTTTTAAAGTAACAAAGGAATATAGATTCTGCAATGAGTACAACACAGACAGCTATTTTGAGTCTGGGGCAAGTTAATTATATTCAAAAAAGACAGGGTCTCCAGGACTTTTTTTTTTTTTTTTGCAGTGAAATATTTTAGTTCCTTCATATAGAGACATATTACACAATGTTAACAACCATGAAAAACAATACAAAATGCCCTCAATTTACCAAGTAGAAAAATATAACTAGTATATATGGCAATTGTGAATCTAATACTGTACAGAAGTAATTTATGGATTTTACAAATAAATTATAGCTTAAATGCCCTTTTAAAATTTTTTTTTCCTCCCCCGATGTACACCAGAACTTACAATAGGAAAGGTTCCGAGCCTAGGTTATTGCAGATCAGTGCCAGTCAAATGTCCTGCCCACAAGCTCGAAGAATTTCTTATTTGGCTCGTGAAAATATTCGTGCAGTTTACTGAGGAGTCTGGGGTCAACTTGGGGGTGCGCCCGGCCTTTGGACTCGTGCAAACAGCGGTCCCGTCCGCCGTCCCGCAGGCAGTAAAAGCCCTTGGTTTTGTTAAAGTAGAAGTTCGAGGCGTTGATCTGTGGGGACAGCTTCAGGAACCGCTCGACCTTCTGGATCTCGGGGAAAGGGTCCCTGATGAGGCGGTCGCCATCGACGATGTGGATGCGGCGCAGCGGGAAGAAGCGCAGCCAGTTCTGCAAGTGCACGTGGTAGAGGCTGCGGTTGAGCGCCTTGTAGCCCACGTTGAGCCGGCCGTCGCGCACCAGGAACTCCTCGATGGACGGATAGGGCTTGCGCTTCTGCACGTGGTTGTAGAACACTTGGGTGTAGTCGGACAGCACGCGCTCGGACGGGTCCCGCAGGATGAGCAGCAGCCGGATGCCCGGGTTCATGCTGTGGACACGCTCAGGCACTTTGGGCGACGTGAAGTACGCGGGGGTCTTCTCCACCGTGAGCTGGTGCGGGGACGAGAAGGGCATCTGGCCCAGGTACCAGCCCAGGCCTTGGCTGTAGTGCTCCTCCCAGTCGAAGAAGTGGACCTCGTTCTCAGCGGCTGCCACGTCGGGGTGCAGGCTGAGCATCTCCAGCAGCGCGCGCGTGCCGCCCTTGCGCACGCCGATGATGATGGTCTGCGGCAGCTGCTGGGCCGAGCCGTTGGGAGCCGCGCCTTCTCGGCCCTCACCCTGGAGGGTGGCTGCTCTGCGCGCGAGCTCCGGCTGGCCCGGCGCGTCCCCGGGCGCTGCAGGGCGGGAAGGCACTAGCTGGAGCTGGGCCACCAGCAGCACCGCGCCCAGGAGCAGCGCGGCCGTGCTGGACACCATGGTGGCTTCACTGGGCCCGGCGCCGCTGGGTCATGAAGCGCTGCCTCGGGGAATGCCTCCTAATCAGTGACACATGGGTGTTGCAGGCCGCCAATTACTAGGAAATAAAGGGGAAAGATATTAACCCCAAATACATCCAGGGCTTACTGGAGCTGACAACTCTGTAGTCTTGGGTACGGCAGTCACCTCCCTGGGGCTCTCTCCGTTTCTTTATCCTATGGTGCAGGGAGTGGCAAACACTTTTTGTACAGGGCCAGATAGGAAATGTTTAGGTTTTGCAGGACACAGTCTCTATGGCAACTCCAAGTATGCTGTTTTGCTCAGGTGGCCATAGACAGTACACAGAGGAATGGGTGCAGTTGTGTTCCAATAAAACTTTACTTATGGATACTGAAATCTGAATTTCATATAATGTTCATGCATCATTAAATATGATTTTCTTTTGATTTTTTTCAATAATTCATATGTTCAGCTCTCTGTGTGCACAAAATCAGAGTTTGCCAATCTCTGCTGTAAAGGAAAGGGTGGGAAAGGTCTTTTGGACCTCAGCAAACATCACTGAAATATCCACTACCTGCCAGTCCCAGGCAGAGGGGCTGGCAGGTAGTAGAAGCAGACGTTGTTCCTGTCCCAGCCACCCACTGGGGGCTCCTGATCTAATAGGGCAGGTGAACCTGTATGAAAGACTGAATAATTAGCTCCCATTCTTTACTCCTCCCTTCATCCAATTCTTGCTATGGCCTCACCGTGGGGTGAGTGTGCTCCCCAGCGATTTCATTTGGGTTTGGCCAAAGGTTTGTGGGTGGAAATGACAAGATGCCATTCCCCAGTCTTGGTCTCGAGAAGCTCTGTGTGTTTGCACTTGCCCTCTTGCGCTTCTGCCATGACTGTGAGCAGAACGTGCCCCGGCCAGCCACTGGGTTCCAAAGGAAGGTGAGAGACATGTACAGCAGAGCCACATGCAAGCCCTTTGTGTGCAACACAGCCATCCTGGTTCGTGAGTGAGAATCCACCACTGTGGCTATAAGCCTTTGAATTTTGGGGCGGTTGGTATTGCAGAATAAATGTGGCCAAGGTTAATTGATATCACCTGACTGCAGGCTTCAGTGCCATATATGCTCTGATTATAGTTTAGGCAGGGTAATATGAGGACATGTGTTCACTCATTTCTCCTGGAACAACCTGGGATGGCTTCAAGGTAGAGAAAGTGTTTGAAGTGAGCCTAGAGGGGTAAACGGGGAGGTGGCTGGAAAGAGCAAAACTCTTTCCAGTGTGCAAAGTCGTACCGCTCATGAAGTGGTTTTGCAGTCTGCTCAGTCGACTGGCACCGTGAGCCTACAGTGCAAGGTAGCAAACGGGACAGATATAGATAGGAATCTTGCCCAAGGACACGAGAATTTAGTCCACTTCAAAATTCAGAGCCCAAATTCAGAACGCTGAACGCAGGGCTCTTTCCACAAACTGCCTCCTTTATAACTTCTCCTCTTTATCTAGCTGAACTTTATAACATTTTGGCATTGAAGTCCCACAAGGCCACAGCCACTTCTGGGCCAGATGGCAGGGGCTTCCCAAGGACAGAGGAGTCACGTCCATGTTTCAGGGAACTGATAAACTACCATCATTAAGAGGTATTTGACCGTCTCCCAGGAAGAGGGCATTGGAAGTTCTTGTAAGTAATCTGTCCCAACAAGTTAGGGAAGGGTGAGTGACCGGCCTGCCTTGGGGACTGTGGGCTATAGAGAGCCAGTAAAAATGTTCTCCATCAAAAGGGCCCATCGTCTTCCTTATGCCATGTTTAAAATTCACTTTATTAGTTTAAAACTTGTCTATTTAGAATGTATAAACGAAGAATTTTTATGGTCTTCCATTTTTTATCATCAAACCAATTGCACTACCTCCCTCAGATATCAACTGTATTAGCTGCTTTGAAAAATGTATATTAAAATGTCTTAATTTTAAAAAGCAATTCAAAACTGGACAATTTTAGAGAATCACAGAACTGGAGAAGGGACTTGCAAGATCAGCTGGCATAACTACTTAGGGAAACAAAGAAGGATGGGATGACTGATCAAGATGTGGTCCAAAGTTTTCTACGATTGAATGAGCTCAATTTAATGGAACTTTCCCTTACTCAACTGAATGCTTTAGTATGTTTCAGTCAAATTTCATTTCCTTCTCAATGTGGGTCTGACCCATATGGGTTGACCAAATGGATGCCACTGTGCTTGCCTTTTACATGTTTGGGGTGTGTATGTACACCTGTGCATAGGCATGCTTGTGTGGGTCTGTGCGGTATGTACACCTGTGCATAGGCATGCTTGTGTGGGTCTGTGCGGTATGTACACCTGTGCATAGGCATG